AATGTTAGAGGTATTTGTTATTTTAATCAACTGGGTACTAATAATTATAATAACTAAATCTTTAAGGAAACTTTGACACAGCATTTTGGTCACAGGATAAGAATTAAAATTTCATTTTTGTTGCAGAGAAGTAAAACAAGATTTAATAAAAGATTTTTGAGGATAAGCAGTTGTTACATTAAGATAAAATTGAGTGATGAAAGTGGAGTGGAAATGATTTCAAGTAAAAGGTACCATGTAAAATTTCTAAATGTTAAAAAAGAGGTCTTCCCTGGTGGCGCAGTGGTTGAGAGTCCACCTGCCAATGCAGGGGGCGCGGGTTTGTGCCCTGGTCCGGGAGGATCCCACGTGCCGCGGAGCGGCTGAGCCCGTGAGCCGTGGCCGCTGAGCCTGCGCGTCCGGAGCCTGTGCTCCGCAGCGAGAGAGGCCACAGCAGTGAGAGGCCCGCATTCCGAAAAAAAAAAAAAGAGCTTGCTCGTGTGTGTTTAATGAATGATGAAGATATCTAGCCTATTGAAAACATGCTAGAAATTATATCTTTGCATTATTTAAACTTATGAAAACATTGTAGGTGTCAACTTAAAAATGTAAAAGGGAGTACATTATTTTTAAAAATTGTTTCAAGGGGAATGTAACAAAATATATGAAAGACCACTGCTCTGATAAAGGAAGATCAAGCTTAGTAAATGATGTGTCAAGGTATACCATCACAGACATGTATGCTATTGAGAAGTAAATAAGGTTGACCCCTGTACCAAACCAGCTATCTGAACTTTCATAAGTTGTCACACTTCTGATACAAAGGAAATTACACAGTTCTTGGCTCTTAGAAGTTACCCATTAAATTTAAATTCTCTTCCCTAGAAATTAGTAGTGGGTTTTATATGTATCTGGATTTGACAATCACAAATTTTGGTGTGGGAGGTTCTTCACTAGCGTTAATGTTAGGGTATGAATGCTTTCCAAACATCTCAATAAGCCGTGTCTAGTAAGCCCTGGTAAAATCGTGCTTTATTCTTCAGTCCACAGGGTTATATAAAAACATTCTAGGGCAAAGAATACGGATGGTCAATTAAAATAACTAAGACAAGAAGTTGTTCTTGGTTTCTTCACTCTCAATTTTACTTCATTCTCAATACAAAGAAGAACTACTGCCTTCAAATAAGAAACAACTGAAAAAACAGAGCTTATAAATACAGAGTACAGTTTGGTGGTTGCCAGGGGCAGGGTGCGGGGGTTGGGCAAAATGGGTGAAGGGGATCCGTTATAAAATAAATCATGGGGATGTACATGTACAGCATGGTAACTATAGTTAATAATACCGTATTGCATATTTGAAAATTGCTAAGAGAGTAGATCTTAAAAGTTCTTACCATAAGAAAAAAAATTTTTTTGTAACTATGTATGGTGATGGATGTTAACTAGACTTACTGAAGTGATCACTTTGCAGTACTTACAAATATCAAATCATTCCATTGTGTACCTGAAACAAATGTAAAAGTCAATTATACATCAATAACTAATATACGTAATAGTCTACAAAACAAATCACATACCATGATTCTCACACTTGTTAGGATACTGAGGACTGTGACATCATGAGGGCAATTAGTGGTTTACCATGAAATATTTATATTCGATAATAAGTAAAGTTGGGGAAATATATATTCATTATAAAAATTACAACAAAATAGGTAAAAACATCAGTGCATCGAAATAACTACATATTAAACTAGATGTAAACTATTTCACAATTTGTATTGCTTTGTTATTAAGACACCATTACTAAATATGAGCCAGTTTTTGTTACCTACTAAGATTCCTTTATAAGGAAGTAGAAACATTGTTAAGAAAAGTTCCTGGGAAGAAATATAACTTGGAAAGTTATATTAATTTATTTTCCAGCAAATTTTAAAACGCTCATATGCTGATTACTTCCCTGTTGTTGTTTCAGCTCCAAGCATGTCTTTCTCTTATTCTGTGATGCTAGGGCTGGGACTCTGACAAAGACATTTCCTATTCTCCCTTGCTAGTTGGCTTCCTGTTATAGTTTGCCAATGGAGGCATTAAAGGGATTTTGGGAGACAGAAAGGGAGAAGGAACCCGCTTCCTATTTTCCAGATTTTTTAGTATCTCTCTAGCAGCATCTAGATATATCTAGTATATCTCTAGCAGAATCTCTCTAGCTTGCCTGTAGAATCTTTCTGCTTTCCCAGCACCAGTACCAAACCTAGTTAACAGCCAGCCTGACACCCCTCTTCAGAGCTTTTAGGTTCTAGTAAACCCATCTCTTCCCCTTTGTTCCCCAAGCTCTAGGGTTTAGCTGCTTCCTGAAGTTACAAATCTCTCCCCTTTTTGCTCTTTGAGGCCTTCCTTCAAAATTGTGTAATCAATTTCCTGTAATTAAATCTTCTGTTTGAAATTCCCAGCATAGTCTGCTTTCTTGATTAGACCCTGATAAACAGAGTCCTACGACAATTTCTTTGAGCAGTACAAACACTTAGTTGACATACTTTGAGGACCACTGCTGTACTCTACTGGAGATGACTGGGCTCAAACCAGTGTTGGACTTGGTGGTATGAGACAAGAAAAATAAAGGACAAAAAGTCTTCTTATGATCAATTACTGACAGATGAAGAGATAGTCATACATACAGTTTCTCTGAAGGTACACCTTACCAGTCAGGAAGTATCTTAAATTTCTAGCACTTTAGAATGAAACATCCAAGAAGATCTCTAACCTGCGTGATAGTTAAGTCCAGGGAAGAGCTGTGTGATGCATTTGTCAAGCACCAAACCACAATTATCATCCAAAGAATTCTTTTTTTTTTTTTTTTGGCTGTGTCGGGTCTTAGTTGTGGCATGTAGGATCTTCGTTGAGGCATGTGCGATTTTTCATTGCAGCGTGGGCTCTTGTGACATGAGGGCTTCTCTCTAGTTGTGGCATGCAGATTTTCTCTCTCTAGTTGTGGCACATGGGTTCCAGGGCACATGGGCTCTGTAGTTGTGGTGCTCGGGCTCCAGAGCATGTGGACTTTGTAGTTTGAGGCACGTGGGCTCTCTCGTTGAGGCACCCCAGCTCAGCAGTTGTGGCGGGCAGGCTTAGTTGCCCCACAGCATGTGGGGTGTTAGTTCCCTGACCAGGGATCAAACCTGCGTCCCCTGAATTGGAAGGCGGATTCTTTACCACTGGACCACCAGGGAAGTCCCATCATCCAAAGAATTCCTAAAGGGTAAATTTCCCATTAAAGCAACCCAACTATTAAATGTTTGTGGAGCCTTAAAAAATAATTGCTTGCTTTCTTCTGAATGTAACAATGCAATGTAACAACAGTTTCACAGAGTAAAGTGCAAATCACTTTAGTCCTAGTAGCCAGACTCCCTTTGTCCAAGACTCTGGGGCTTTAGCTATTAGAGGGCTCTTTCTCGGGAGGGGATTGGAGGGAATCTCCAAGGATGTGTTCTTATTTCAAGAACTTCCCTTTGCTTCCACACACCCCCACTTACCGAGATCTTGACTTGGGTGCACCTTCCAGATCTTCCAAGGTCTGGGGAAGAATGTTGGTTTGTTTGGAACCTTCACTGACAAAGACTATCTCCTTGACCAAACTTTTAGTCAGACTCCTCTGAACCCTCTTCTTAACTAGGCTTCAACCTTTGGGCTTCAATGTTTGTCTTTGCAACACTCACTTTTAGCAAGAATTCTGTCATGTCAGTTTACCTTGAGTTCTTGATATCTGATCAGTCTCAATATCTAATTAAATTCCTCATCCACCCAGGTGGTATCTGATCACTCTGGCCAGCCCTCAGCAAGAATCCTGTTGGTCAATATAGTGAGAATTCCCCCCTACCCTTTATGTCTCCTCTTTGTAATTTCCCATGAACTGACCACCCCCCAACCCCAACTTGCTCCTTGCCTATAAATCCCCACTTGTTCTTGCTATATTTGGAATTGAGCCCAGTTCTATACTGAAGTCTCTTTCCCCCTATTGCAATATTTCCTGAATTAAAAAAACAAAACAAAACAAAAACCCCTCAACTACTGTTCAGCTCTGGTTTTCTTTAACATCACTCAGGGGTTCACATTCTTCTCCTGACTGTGGACAGTTTTTCTTAAAGCTGGGCCCTAATTAAAGTTTTAAAGTGAAAAGGAGAAACAGCAATAAACCCCAGAGCTGTTGGCTACAACATTATAAATGGCTTTGGTGCAAATGAGCATCTTCCTACAACTGGAATATAATTACCCTCTGTGCCTGGCATCACATATGGGGCAATCAGAGAAGGGATAGTAAAAATGAGGATAACACTGACCCCACCCATGGCCGGAGGTGAGGGGTTGGGTGGGGGTGGGAGAACAGTTAGACCTGGAGACAGGCACACACACAGACACACAAACACTCTTCTCCCACGTACTCAACCCTAAAGAAAAGCCCAGAAACACCGCCCATTATGGGTAAACTCCTGCGATCTCTGGGATAAGAACACAGTTACAGAAACGTCATGCCCAAAGTCAGCCACAGTTCTTCACACACCCACAATCACTCTCTCATTCTTGGCGTGACAGACCCACAATCTGTCACACAACGACCCACACTCATGGGCGTGACTGAAAATACAGAAGCTCACTACACCGACGGAACCCGTTGCCCCGTAGTGAGCAAGCACAAAAGTGTGCAGCGACAGTCGCACACACAAACCGCCCCACCTGAGCATTCAATAACAGTCACGGACGTGCACAGCTTCACCACTCCCTCACACACACTAGCCCAGAGTCATTTGAGTGCCCAAGATCGCCCAGGGTCGCACACAGCGTTCCGTGTACCCGCACCTGCGGCCGCGGTCACCTGTAGCGCAGGCGCGATGTCGAGGCTTGTCTCGGGGCCCTGTGGGAAATGTTGTTCTTTCCGCAAAGACGCCGAGGCGCAAAGCGTTCTGGGGCTCGTGGTCCGCGGGGTCGGAAGGAAAAGCCGAGTCGCTAGGCCAGGTTCCTGCAGCTGGAGTTTACCCAGCGGAGCTCGGTGTCCCGCGCGCCTCAGTCCCCGCCCCGTTTCCCCCTGCAGGGGATTCTGGGAGGCGACATCGCCGGTCTTGGGTCGTTGGGCGTGTTTCCAGAGCCAGCGGGGCTGGGAGGTGAGTAGGGCCTTGCTACGCGCGAGAGCCAGAGGGCAGGGCCGGGCTTGGGGTGGACCGGCAGGGAACGGGGTAGGAACAAGGAGGGCGCCGCCGAGGAGACTGTGTGACAGGCTGCGGGTGTGAGAGGGTGTGATCTTGTGTGTCACCGTGTATGTAATTGTGTGCGACTGTGACCGTCTGTCTCCGGTATAAAACTCCGAGTCTATGTGTGTTTGTGCGTGACTGTCTCCGCAGGTGTAACTGTGTTATTGTGTATGGGTTTGTGAGAGATTGCGGGTGTGACTTTGTGTGTGTGTGTGTCGCTGTGTGGGTGTGTGTGTGACTGTGTTTGACCCCTTGTCCCTGTGGATATAACTGCGTTTGAATGTGTGTGACAGAAGGTGTCATTATGTGCCCATGACCATCTATATCTGCAGGTATAATTTTGTGTAACTGTGACAGGATGTGTGACTTTGTGTGGTATGTCACTATGCATGAGATTGTGTGTGACTGTCTCTCTGTTGGAGTAACTGTGTATCGTCATCTCTATCTTTGTGTTAATACCACTGTGTATGTATGTGACATTACAGTCGCAATTATGTGACCACATATATGTGTGTGATTGGGTGAGAATTTGTATGTGTATGTCAGACCTAGTGTGTGATTGTGAGACACAGAAAGATTAAAATTACTCACCCACATTCACACAGTTACTAAATGACAGAATCAGGACTTAAGCCCAGGCAATTTGGCTCCAGAGGCCTTGCTTTTAATTGCTAAACTCGCTTGATCTTTCCCACGCTGTGAGGGTGAAAAATGGGGGCCCTGAGTTCTGAGGGTGTTGGAGAGTATTGTCTGTGGTCTTGGACTAGGACCCTTCTGGACATAGAACTTAACCTGGGTCTCTTTGTTTGGTCCCCTTGTGAGTAACAGAACCCAATCTAAAGACACTGTGGTGAAACCATCCTCATATTGGCTGCCTTTGGGGGAGGAAAGCCCAACCTGAAAGCCCAGTCTTCCTCTCCTTAGGCCATGGAGTTTGAGATTTTAGGTTTGTCCTTGTCAAAACTCTTCCATGTTTGGTGCTGAGAGAGGCTGATCCATGGCTCTTTTTCTCACATACCAAGTGAACTAAGTGTTTGGTTCTGACTTCACGTAATAAAGAAAAATGCTCTCATTTCCTTTTCAACTGTGTGTGTAAAATCTGAGTGGCAATAAGGGTGGCACTTCTCTATGCCAGGAGTTGGCTCAAGCATCTTGACAGTGAGGAAAGGTTCTGACAGTTGGGTTGATTTGCCCAAGGTCACGTAGCCAATGAGGAAAGGAATGGAGAGTCAGTGTGTGTCTGGGGGTCTATATAAAGCACAAGTCTTTCACAGCACCTTTCAGTGACTGATGGTTCATCTCAAACTTGAAAAGTATTATTCAAATGATACACAGCGATTTGAAACAGCAGTTTAAAAGCTATTTTTTTTTTATGCAGGTGCTACTTAGAGCTCCCAGGTGCTGAGAAGACTTCACTGATTCTCCTCTTGGGTTGCAAAGGCTTTTATAAACAAATTCAAGCTGCATTACACTAAGGAAATAATTTTCTTACAGATTGAGTTGGTTAGTGCAGAGTAGCCCAGAATTAGGGGATTGTATATCTTAAATTCTAAGTCAAACACAACTATCTTTGTTTTCAGAGTGAAGAAATGTTGGCTCTGAGAAGACAAGGAACTTGTTTCAGGCTGTGCAGTTTCTTGTTGGTTTGGTATTGAAATTTGTCAATGTTTGCCTCAGGCTGAATTTCTGTGGAGTAATAGAGGTAACACCTGCCACCTCTGAATATGCTTCACTGAAAAACATATAGCATTGATTTCTCAGGTTATGCTGAATATTTCCCATACAAACATTGTGGTCTCTTGAAAGAGGACCAGTTTTTGAGCCACACTGCAGTTTGACTCTTATGACTTTGAGTTAGCTGTTTAAGCTTTTTGAACCTCAATTTCAGTTGGTGGTAAAATGGGGATAATAATACCTACCTTTGCAGTTTTGTGAAGATTAAATAAGATAATGACATACACAACATGTGTAACATTGCTATTTATATTACAGGAGCCACAGTAAGATTTATTTATTTGTTTATCAAATATGTTTTTAGCACTTACAGTGGTTCTGGCATTATTCTAGCACTAGAGATATACCAGTGAACCCAACAAATCCTGGCTGTCTTAAATCTTATACTGTTGTTTGGGAAGACAACAGTTAACAGGAAAAAAAAAAAAGTATCATGTCCAATGATGTTAAATGCTAAGAAGAAAAATAAATCAAGATAAGGAAAAATAATAACTGGGAGGGAGAATCCCTTTAGGTAGAATAGGGAGGTCCCTCCAATGTTGTTAACAATTGAGCACAGATAAGAATGAAGAGAGGGAATATGCCGTGTTCAGGCAGAAGGAAAAGCCAGGCCACAGCCTTGAAAAAGGAGTGTGGACAATGTTTGAGGAGCTATAAGGAAATCTGTATGCCTGGAGTAGGGTGAATAAGGGGGAGAAGAGTGGGAAATGAGGTCTAAGGGGCAGCCAGGGCTAGATCATAAATTGTCTTATTGGTGATAGGATGGACTTTAGATTTTGTTGAGTTCAGGCTGTGTGTCCTTAGTATCAGTCAGGAGTTCAGGGGTTAAGTTCAGCTTTGGCCTTTTTTGTCAGATCTTGGAACAGGGTAGGGCTGGTCCATGTAAAGAAACTAGCGACCATAAAGGGCCAAAAAACTCTGTGAGTCTCAGATCAGCAACATAGGGCTGCTCTGCCATTTTTTTTTCTTGTTTAACTCTCCCTTCTCAGGACTTTGTTCTCCAAAAGAGAAAATTGAAGAAGGAAGGAAGAATGGCTGTTGGACTATGTAAATCCATGTCCCAGGTAAGTTGATGTTTTCACTTTGTTTCCAGAAATTCCACATCATTTTTCAGGACTTTGGGACCTCAGAGAGAGTCACAAGTAGCCCAGTGAGTGCACTCTTCACTTCTCTCTCTCCACTATTTGTTCATATAATCCTTCTACAAAACATTTAGTTGCTATTTTTACTCAGTGTTGTGCTTAAATGTATGATGGAACAGAACTTTTCCTCTTTAGATGAATCACGATTTGTTGTGTTGGAGATGAATGCAAGTGAAATAAAGGATGGAGTGTGATTATCAAATAGGGAGGTCAAGGATGGTTTTTCTGAGAAAGTGACAGTTGAGCAAAGAAAAACCTGAGTGAAAGTAGGGAGTAAGTTTTGTGGCGATCTGGGAAGAGCTTTAAAAAAGTAGAAGGAATAGCAAGTACAAAGTTACTGTGTTGGGAGCATGTTTGATGTGTTCCAGGGATAGCAATAAGCCAGTATCCTCAGACAGAAATGTGCACTGTGAGATTAGAGCAGTAGCTGGGAACCAAATTATGCAGGCCCTTAAAAGTCATGACCAGAACTTTGACTTTTGTTCTAAAGGTGAAGGAGAAACATTGGGGTATTTGTGATGTGATTTGATTTATGTTTTAAAAGGAAAATAAATAGCAGAGAAGTAACAGTGGAAGCAGGGAGGCCAGTCAGGAGACTGCTGCAATAATCCAGGTGGGAGGTGATAGCTTCCTGGACCATGGTGGTGGCATTGGAGCTGGTGAGATTCTGGGTGTATATTGGAGATATAAAATATGGGATTTGATCAGGGATTGGTTGTGGAGTATGAGAGGAAGAAAGAAATCATGAATGACTACAAAGATTTTTGACCTGGGCAATTGTGTAAATGGTCATGCCATTTACTGAGATGGGAAGACAGGGTGGGATGAGATAAGAGTCAAGAATTGAGTTCTAGATATATTAAATTCGAGAGACCTGTTGGATATCCAAGTAAAGTATTGATTATATATCTAGAGTTCAGGACTGGAGATGTGAATTTGAGAGTCATTAGTGTATTTAAAGCCATGGGACAGGATGAGATTATCTTGAGGGTAGGATTGTGGCGAATGTAGATAGGAAAGAGGTCCAAGGACTGAGCTTAAGGCATTCAATATAAGAGGCTGACAAGAAGAGGAGGAACCAGCAAAAGAGACTAAGAAGGACTGATGTAGAAGGAAAACCAGGAGAGTGTGGGTCCCGTGAGTCAATAGTAGAAAGCATTTCAAGGAGATGATCAACTGAGTTAAATTCTTCTGAGAGAGACTGAGGAAGATGCTAGGACCATATGGGAGTACTTGGCAAACAGCATTTTTTAAAAAATTTCAGGGTTTGGTGACCTTCAGGGATGTGGCTCTAAATTTTTCCCAAGAGGAGTGGGAATGGCTGGACTCATCTCAGAAGGATTTGTACAGAGATGTCATGTTGGAGAACTACAGGAACTTGGTATGGCTTGGTAAGGATATGTATCCCCCATAATTCAAATCTTCCCTATGAGGTGTTTATGCTTCCTCCATTGGGAATATCTAGGGCATCTTAAATGCTTAGCTGGATTTCTACTTCGTGTTCCCAGGAAATTATTCAAAGTAGTTTCATAGAGTTATAAATGAGTATAGTTCCCTTTGCTCTAGAATGATGGTTTGGGATAGCAGCATTAGTATGGCGTGGAAATTTTTTAAATTGCAAATTATGGGGTCCCACTATAGACCTACAGAATCTGGGAATAGGCCTAATAGTCTGGGTTTTAATGAGCCCTCCAAGTGGTTCTGATACCCATTAAAATTTGAGAACCACTGTGGCTTCTGATTCAGTAGGTCTGGTTGGGGCAGCCTGAGAATTTGCATTTCTAATAAGTTCCTAGGTGATGGTTCTTCTGCTCTAGTACTTTGAGAACTGCTGCTAAGAAAGAAGCTTTGTCTGTCTCATTCTCCATTCAAGCATCTTTCCATTCTCTGGTCCTTCCTCTAATGTCCTTTCTTGCCTAATGACCAAGAGATTGAGTCTGAGTCTGGAAGAGCAATAGCAAGTTGATTTGTTTATCTATCTGTCTGTCTTGCTGGCTCTCATTTTTCTTCTCCTGTAAACAGGACTTTCCATTTCTAAGCCCAACATGATCTCCTTATTGGAGCAAGGGAAGGATCCTTGCATGGTGGAGAGAGAGAGGTCAGATGGTCAATATGCAGGTGAGTGACGGGGAACAGGGAGGGCTGTTGTAAGGTGACAGCACAAGTGGTCATAAGAAGACTGCCCTGCATTTGAGGAGGCTGTCCTGGGCTTCAGGGGGTCATTTCCTCTCTATTTCTATCAAGTTATATTCTCAATAATATTTCTACCTATACCCTGAATCTTGTTCCTTTTAAGTTCTTTCCCCTTTATGGATAGAGTTATATACATTTCTAGATTTCTTTTTAGAGTTTTAATTTTATCAAAGTTATGCATGCACATTGGTTGAAGAGACAAGTTGTTTTATAAGGCTTATTCCTTTAAAAAAGGAGGTCTCTTGCCCGCTTCCCAGTTTCTCTCTCCCTAGAGGGATCCACTTTCTTTACTTTGGCAGCTTCTTTTGGTGTCTCCTTCACGTCTCTAATAAATATGTTTATGTTGCTATTTCTTGATTGTTTTTTTCAGGTTTAGTCCTCATCCAATATCTTCATTAAGAAAATAAGAATTTAGTACTTTCTTATCCTGAATCCAACATGTGTGTGAGCATGCACGCGCACACACACAATTTCTGTCTTCCTATCTCACTGATATCGTAATTTTTAAAGTTTTATTTTTTTAATTGAAGTGTAGTTGATTTACCACGTTGTGCCAATCTCTGCTGTACAGCAAAGTGACTCAGTTATACACATATGGACATTCTTTTTTTTAATATTCTTTTCCATTATGGTTTATCACAGGATATTGAATATAGTTCCCTGTGCTATAAGTAGGACCTCGTTGTTTATCCATCCTATATGTAATAGTTTACATCTGCTAATCCCACACTCCCAGTTCTTCCCTCCCCCACCCCCTCCCTCTTGGCAACCACAAGTCTGTTCTCTATGTCTATGAGTCTGTTTCTGTTTTGTAGGTAGGTTCATTTGTGCCATATTTTTAGATTCCATATATAAGTGATATAATATGGTATTTGTCTTTCTCTTTATGAATTATTATGGTAATCTCTTAGTTGCATCCATGTTGCTGCAAATAACATTATTTCGTTCTTTTTATGGCTGCGTAGTATTCCATTTTGTGTGTGTGTGTGTGTGTGTGTGTACCACATCTTCTTTATCCTTTCATCTGTAGATGGACATTTATGTTGTTTCCATGTCTTGGCTATTGTGAATAGTGCTTCTATGAATATAAGGGTGCATTTATCTTTTTGAATTATAGTTTTGCCCAGGTATATGCTCAGGAATGGGATTGCTCGATCATATGGTAATTCTATTTTTAGTTTTCTGAGGAACCTCCATACTGTTTTCCATAGTGGCTGCACCAACTTACATTCCCACCAGCAGTGTAGGAGGGTTCCCTTTTCTCCACACCTTCTCCAGCATTTGTTATTTGTAGACTTTTTTTTTTTTTTTTTTTTTTTTTTTTTTTTTTTTTTTTTTTTTTTTGCGTTATGTGGGCCTCTCACTGTCGTGGCCTCTCTCGTTGCGGAGCACAGGCTCCGGACGTGCTGGCCCAGCGGCCATGGCTCACGGGCCCAGCCGCTCCGCGGCATGTGGGATCTTCCCGGACCGGGGCACGAACCCGTGTCCCCTGCATCGGCAGGTGGACTCTCAACCACTGCGCCACCAGGGAAGCCCTATTTGTAGACTTTTTAATCATGGCCATTCTGACTGTTGTGAGGTGGTACCTCACTGTAGTTTTGATTTGCATTTCTCTAATAATTAGTGATGTTGAGCATCTTTTCATGGGCCTGCTTGCCATCTGTATGTCTTCTTTGGAGAAATGTCTATTAAGGTCTTCTGCCCATTTTTCGATTGAGTTGTTTGTTTTTCTGTTGTTGAATTGCATGAGCTGTTTGTATATTTTGGAGATTAAGCCCTTGTCGCATCATTTGCAAACATTTTCTCCCATTGCATGGGTTGTCTTTTGGGTTTTTTTTAATGGTTTCCTTTGCTGTGCAAAAGCTTGTAAGTTTGATTAGGTCCCATACCAATATCTTAATTTTTATTGAACCACTGTTCAGTGTTTACATTATTATGGCTATTAAGTGCTAGTCGTCGCTGTGCTGTGCATATACCAAGGTTACTTTTTCTGTACTTTTTCTTTTTCTTGGCATTAATAATTATCTGGGGTTTTGTCTATTTTTTTCCTTAGTTTTCTATATACATATTCCTAACTCAATTCTTAACTCCCGATCAATTGTTTAAATCTCTTAAGACACTCAGACACATTAGGTTATCTAGTGATTTTACCTTCTTGGAGAAATCTCTCCAGAGTCTTCAGATATGCTTCACTCTAGACAAATGGCTCATTACATTTGCTTGCATTCTATTTCGGTTTATCTAACGTTTTCTCATGATTAGATTGAGGTAGTGCATTTTTGAAAAGAGTGCCACAGAAATAATGTTGTGTCCTTCGCAGTGAGTGCATCATACCAAAGGATTGATAATATTGATATATCTTATTATCAGTGATGTTAATTTTCATCACTTGGTGAAGGTGGTATCTGCCTGGTTTCTCCATTGTAAAGTTACTATTTTTCTATTTATAATTAATAAATATTTGGGGAAGATACTTGATACTATTCAGTTTCTTCTGAAACTTTTGCCCACTGATTTTAGCATCCACAGCCCTGTTGGATCTTGTCTGCAACAGTTACCACTGTTGTGGTATTGACCTAATGTTGACATTTTTATTTCCTTCTTTTATTTATACATATTAACTAGGATTGTTCTGTCTGGAAGAGCTGTTTCATCTCTCCCATTTGTTTATATATTAAAATATTTCTTCATATTTATGGAATGAGGGGTTTTTTTTTCCTATGAGTTAAAACTACTGTATCATTATTTTGTTGCTCAAAGTGTTCCAGCTTTGACCATTTAGATCTTCAAGTTGGTTCCTATGACCTTTTTTTTTTTTTTTTTTAAATAAATTTATTTATTTATTTGGCTGCGTTGGGTCTTCGTTGCTGCGTGTGGGCTTTTCTCTAGTTGCAGCGAGTGTCGTTTTGGTGCACGGGCTTAGTTGCGGTAGCTTCTCTTGTTGTGGAGTATGGGCTGTAGGCATGTGGGCTTCAGTAGTTGTGGCTCGTGGGCTCTAGAGCGCAGGCTCAGCAGCTGTGGCACACGGGCTTAGTTGCTCCGTGGCATGTGGGATCTTCCCGGACCAGGGCTCGAACCCGTGTGCCCTGCATTGGCAGGCGGATTCTCAACCACTGTGCCACCAGGGAAGTCCCCTCCTATGACCTTTTAACATGCCCCACTTCATGGTTCCAGGTGTTCCAGGTTCATCTTGTTTTCCTTTCCCCAGCCTTGAATCAACCACTTCTCTAAGGAGCCCTGGTTCCTTTTATTGGGAAATGATGTTTAGAAACCAAGGTCTGGGTACTAGGTGTACTTATTGCTACTGGAAGTGATTTCTTCTAGGCCCTCACAGCAGACTGAGCTGGAAAATATATGTATGTATACCAATACACACTTTTAGACAGACACACATTTTTTTTTTTTTTTTTTTTTGCGGTACGCGGGCCTCTCACTGTTGTGGCCTCTCCCGTTGCGGAGCACAGGCGCCGGACGCGCAGGCTCAGTGGCCATGGCTCACGGGCCCAGCCGCTCCGCGGCATGTGGGATCCTCCGCGGCATGTGGGATCCTCCGCGGCATGTGGGATCCTCCCCGACCGGGGCACGAACCTGTGTCCCCTGCATCGGCAGGCGGACTCTCAACCACTGCGCCACCAGGGAAGCCCAGACACACACTTTTATATTTATTTCCGTCTTTATTTTTTTTAATACATTAAATTATTGGTTTATATTGATACCTTGATTTTAGTCCTACCCTCCACAGGGTTTATCATAGCCTTTCTCCTTTACTTATTTGTAATTTCTTCTTCTGACAGTGAGAAGCAATGTATTTAACTATTTCCTCCATTTAAGTGTACACACAAAGTAGTTTCAGAATTTCTAACCTATTCCTCTGTGAGAAATAAATTTACTAAGTAGATTACATTATTTGTATTTAGGTACAAATGTACTTTTTTAGTCTTAAGTATTCAGTCAAAAACTATTTTCCAGAGTTACTTAGGTTAGTTCTTCTAGGTTCATTTGTTTCTGTTGATTCCTACTACATCCTGGTTGATTTTACTTTTTTTTTTTTTTTGTATCTGAAACATTACTATGCTCCTAAGAATCAGACCTTTACAAGAATGTATCCTCAGAAAAGTGTCACTCCCTCCTCATCCTTACTGTCTTGTTTCTGTTCCCTACTTCTTCCTGCCCCTTTCTTACCCACCCCTTGTAGATCACCAGTCTTTATTTTCAGGTTTGTCCTTTTTATGTTTCTTTTGCACAAATGAGCAGATATACCTGTAGATTTGCATTTGCTCTTTTCACTTAGCTATAACGACATGGTTTGAACTGAGAGGGTCCACTTACATGCGAATTTTTTCAATAAATACTTACTACACGATCCGAGGTAGGTTGAATCCATGGATGCTGAACTGCAGATTCGGAGGGCTGACTGTAAACTTATACCCATAGCCCCTGCATTTTTCGGGGGTCAGCTGTACAGGAAATCACTCCATATGAGTTCTTGGAGAGCTTCCTCATTTTTCTGACAGCTGCAGAATACTCCATTCTGTGGATGTTATGGTAATTTATTGAATCTATAATGTGTGAACATTTAGGTTGTTTGCAGTAGTTTACAATTACAGACAATGCTGCCATAAATAACCTTGTAAATATGTATGTTCCTGTTGTTGAGGCTTTATTTTCAGGGTTGTTTTGTAGATGTAGGATTGCTAAGTAAGTGCATATGTAGTTTAGGAATTGCCAAATTCCTCCCCAAAAATGTTGTACCTGTCTGCTTTTTGTATTAGTTTCTTATGGCTGCTGTAACAAATTACCACAAATTTAGTGGCTGAAAACAACACAAAAATATTATCATACAGCTCTGGATCCAGGTCAGAAGTTCAAAATGGGTCTTACAGGGCTAAAAATCAAGATGTTGGCAGCCTGCCTTCCTTCTGAAGGCCCTTGGGGAGAATCTGTTTCTTGCCTTTTTATGCTTTCTTTAGGGCTTTTATCATCTGTTTATTTTCAACTTTGTAAAATCACCTTGTTTTAAACGTGAGCTTTATATGTAGTATAGAATTGAGTTTTGCTTTGTGAACCAGTCTGGATATCATTTCAATTTAATAGGTGAAAGTCCAACCATGTTTTTAATATGTTTGGGCTTAATTCTGTACATTGTTTTGTGTTATATTTTCTGATTTTTACAGTTTTTAAAAAAGACTTTAGCTTGTCTGTTTTCCTAGGCTTTTTTTTGGTCGTGTAATACTATAGTTTTTATAATAATTAGGAAGATTCTTATTTTGTTCTAGAGCCTTCACGGTTATAGTGCTCTGTTTCTTTAGACAGTATTTACTCCTTCTATTACTTGATTGGTCAGCTTTAAAAACTAGCCTTTGATTTTTTTTACCTGTTACAGATGTGTCAATAAGTAGCCTTATTATACTCCCCACCTTGTTTTCCCAAATTTTGTTACTTGTATGCTTTTTACATTGTCCAGGCATATTATATTTACATGCTCTTGTGTCACATTTATCCCAACCTTTCCTTTTGTCTTAATTCTGTAGTTATATATATTTAGTGTTTTCCACTAGGTCATTTTGCTGAAATTTCTCTGGACATCTCTGGATTGGCTGAAATCTGCTCTCTAGCAGTTTCCTCAAAAAGAGTTCATGCAAACAATGTCCCCCTAAGCTCTACCTTGTTCATAATTGGCCATTCTTTCCTTAAGTTGCTTATAGCATAGTATTGGTGTTAAATGTTATTACAAAGAAGTCTGATGCCAGCTTGATATTTTCCCTTTATGTATAAGTGTCTTTATATTTTGTTCTGATCTCCTAGATGGGTACAGGTTAGGGTATGTCTATGGGTTAGGGTTAGGGTTAGGGTACGGGTTAGGGTATGGTTTATGGTTAGGGTACGGGTTACGGTTAGGGTATCAGTTAGGGTATGGGTTAGGGTTAGCGTACGCTTTAGGGTTAGGGTATTTATTAAACCTCTCCCACTCTCCAGATATCACTTAGCATGTAAAGGTATATTATTCGGGGTCCAGGCATGGAGAAGACTTTAGACACTAGGATAAGAGAAAGAACACACACATTATAAATAAATCACATTAGGATTTTGTTTCAAACCTGTACATTAAACACTAGTGCTTAGGAAATCTAATGGAGTCAGAAGCAGTAAAGGGTAGTTTTATGGGAATAACATCACAGATTTTCTGTAGAATACACAGATTTTGACTGGTTAGAAAGTCAAGGAGGAATGCTTTTGTTCTGAAGACATAAACCCTCTTCTAAATTGAGCTGTTATTGGAAGTTAGAAATTTTTTGTTACTGTTGTATTGCTTTGTGTTTTCGTGATTATTCTGCTTGCATCTCCCTTGTTAAACCTTTGATTTGTGGAAGAGTGCCATTACTGGAAATGATTTTACAGAATTATTCTCAAAAACAAAAGGAAATGGTTCTCACCTAAATATTAAGCAATAATCTCTATACTGGTGTACTAACAGAATTATGATTCAGGGATAATAATTCTATGAAATGTAATTAAACACACAATATTTTTTTTCTTTTAAATTTCCATTGTTACTTTTTTAAAGTACAATTGTAATTCAAATTCTTTGTAACAAGTGAAATTTAAAAAGATTAAAGGAAAAGATAATATTTTACCACTTGCCATTCTTTCCCACTCCCTGAAACGACCAGCATAAATGTGTAGCTTTCTTATTTTATCCAGGTGTTCTATACATCTGGAACATCATGTTTCTCACTGTATAAAAACAGATTTAGCTCTCACAATTTTTTGTTTGTTTTGTTTTTTGCGGTACGCAGGCCTCTCACTGTTGTGGCCTCTCCCGTTGCAGAGCATGGGCTCCGGACGCACAGGCTCAGCAGCCATGGCTCACGGGCCTAACCTTTCATTTTAAAGTCATTTTATCAGAACATGTTTTAGCCTTGACCATTTTGGGTCACTTTTTCCTGGTAGATATGTTCTCTATCAGGATGGAGAGTCAAGTTTTTATTTCTGGAAATATTTTTTTCTTTTTTTACTGATGAAGTTAAAAATATAGGAAAGTATAGATAATAATATAATAATATAGTAAAGGATTTCCTATTGATGAACAATTTTTGTATTTCTGAATTGCATACTTCATCATGTGTATTATTTATTTAATATACTGCTTGATTCAATTTTTAATATTTAAGAATTTTGCCTGTTATCCATGAGATTGGTCTGATATAAGAACAGTGAAATAGATCAGTGGAATAGTGAAGAATGTACAAAAATACACCCATGTATATATGAGAATTTAGTATTAGGTAAAGGTAGTTTTTCAAATTAGTGGTGTAAAAAGATTTTCTTAAAAGTTATGGATAATATTTGTATAATATTGGGTTTTGGAAAGTCTTTCTTAAAATGACATAAAGACCAGGCTCTATAATGAAAAAATTGGAAGATTTGAGTTCATACAAATTTTTTAAAAATTTTATCAGAAGCATTATAAATCAAGATGACGTGACAATAAAATTATCAATGAAGATGACATGTGATTTGAGGGAGAAAAATGCTCAAAAGCCTTAATGTCTTAAATTTATAATGACTTCTATAAACCACTTAAAAGAAATGCCAGTGTAATTAAAATATATGCAAAGTACCTGAATAAGGAATTCACCAAAGATGAAACCACAAAATATATAAAAGGTACATAAATATATATGAAAATGCTCAATTTTATAATCATAGAATTGCAAATTAAAACAATAATGAGGTACTCTTTACTTGTAAGGGCAAATATTTTTAGAATGATGTTAACCAGTGTGAATGCGTTCGAAGACATATTTCATGTTGCTAACAGGAATGTAAATTGATAAAAAAAAGTCAGAACCATGACTTTCTCCCCTCTTTCCTCCAAGTAAATTCTTTAATTTCTTCTATAACAGTTTTCTTTCTCCTTGAAAGGGTAAAAAGGAGACATTTGCTTTCTTGATATTTTTCAGAATGGGACTCTTTGTATGAAATCAAGGCATTATCTCCAAAATGGTACATTGATGAAGAGGAAATATCCCAGGGGATGATAATGGAAAGACTTACAAGTTATGGCCTTGAATCCTCCAGTTTCAGAGAAGCCTGGAAATATAAGGGTGAATTTGAGCAGCATCAGGGAAATCAGGAGAGTCATTTCAGGCAAGTGACAACTCTTAAGGAAATCTCTGCCATGAAAAGAGACAATGAATATAATAATTCTGAGATAAATGTTCTCTTGAACTCAGTACTTTTAACACAACAGAGAGTTCCCACAGTAGAACAAGTACATAAATTTGATATTTATGATAAAATGTTCCCCCCAAATTCAGTTCTAACTGAACATAAAGGACTACATGCTGAGAAGGAATCTTTGATAGGTAATGAATGTGAAGAATTCAACCAGAATACATACCTTAGTAAAGATGCAGAAATTCCTCCTGGGGAGAAACATTACGAAAGTAATGATTTTTCAGATCTCTTAAGTTTCCACTCATTACTTACTCAACATCACACAACTCATCTTGGAAAATTATCCCATGGATACGTTGAATGTGGTGCTGCCTTTAGCTGTTATTCATTCTTTACTCAACCTCAGAGAATTCACAGTAGAGAGAAACCATATGCATGCAATGACTGTGGAAAAGCCTTTAGCCATGACTTCTTTCTCAGTGAGCATCAGAGAGCTCATACTGGGGAGAAACCATATGAATGTAAGGAATGTAACAAAGCTTTCAGACAGAGTGCACACCTTGCTCAACATCAGAGAATTCACACTGGAGAGAAACCCTTTGCATGCAATGAATGTGGGAAGGCCTTTAGCCGTTATGCCTTCCTTGTGGAACATCAGAGAATTCACACAGGAGAGAAACCATATGAATGTAAGGAATGTAACAAAGCCTTCAGACAGAGTGCACACCTTAATCAACATCAGAGAATTCACACTGGAGAGAAACCCTATGAATGTAATCAATGTGGAAAAGCCTTCAGCAGACGCATAGCCCTTACTCTGCATCAAAGAATTCACACAGGAGAGAAACCCTTTAAATGTAATGAATGTGGAAAGACCTTTGGCTATCGCTCACACCTTAATCAACATCAGAGAATTCACACTGGTGAAAAGCCCTATGAGTGCATCAAATGTGGGAAGTTTTTTAGGACTGACTCACAACTTAATCGACATCATAGAATTCATACTGGAGAGAGACCTTTTGAATGCAGTAAATGTGGGAAAGCCTTCAGTGATGCTTTAGTTCTAATTCATCATAAGAGAAGTCATGCAGGAGAGAAACCCTATGAATGTAACAAATGTGGGAAGGCCTTCAGTTGTGGCTCATACCTTAATCAACATCAGAGAATTCATACTGGAGAGAAACCTTATGAATGTAATGAATGTGGGAAGGCTTTCCATCAGATCTTGTCCCTTAGGCTACACCAGAGAATTCATGCTGGAGAAAAACCCTATAACTGCAATGAATGTGGGAACAATTTTAGCTGTGCTTCAGCTCTTCGACGACATCAGAAAATTCATAATAGAGAAGCTCTCTGATTATGTATAACAAGTATAAGAAAGAAAACATTTAGTCACCATTCAGTCCTTATTAAATAAATATCAGTGAGTTCTTCAGTTAGTAATTCTATGAACGTAGTACCTATGGAGAAGCCTTCAGTTCATGAGCATCCCTTATTTGAAATAGCCTGAGTAGTAGACGTCTGTTACTTTTGGATCTGTTCTGTACCCTATTTGAGACTTATCTCACCCTCAATGCATATCATTCTGATGAAATTGTTTAATCAGGAAGAGCAGTAGATTGGTCATAGGCAGGCCAATTATTTTCTTCAACCTCATGATAGATAAGGGATTTACAGATGGCCCTGTCTAGACCAGTAGAGTCCTAGGGGGTCATTGTTATGGGTAGTAAGAAAAGATTTTTTTTTCCCCACCCCAGAATTGCAAGTTTCAAGGATTTAGTAAGGTTAAAAACTCACCAGCAGCCTTTTTGCCACCACATGAAGAAAGCCTTCCCAGGATAAATCTAACACAAAGGAAAACTGAGGTCAGAGACAGAAATCTGAGGATGTTTGATCTTCTGGATCCAATCATGTCTGAAGTTTACACCATCTTTTACTTTTTCATTTTTGTGATCCAATAAATTTTCTTTTTTCTGCTTATGTTAATTTGACTTGGGTTTTTGCCTCTTGGAATCAGAGTCCTGACTCATACACCCCATGTTGGCTACACATGTGAGAAGGCCTTAATCTTTTATATGGCATAATTGTTTATCCTGAGGATAAGCCTCATAACAAGTATATGAAAGTTAAATACACAGCCTTCATAAAGCTGAAAGAATTGTTACATTTTATTTGTTGATAAAAACTAATTTAATATTCATTAGTCTGTTTCACAATAAGGAAGAATTTTTAAAAATTCACTTAGTGAAACTTATTACCAGGCTTTCTCATAGGGAATTAAAATCATTTGTGGCAGTGACTCACTATAGACCTTTAAAGAAAGATTGGCCAGCTAAGAGAATAATGGATCCATCAGTTTAATGAATGGCTCTTCATCTTAAAGGAATTATTTGATTTTCTACTTTCAGCGTGGGTTTAAACATATCATGTGATAGAATAAGATAGAATTGTAAATGAGGTCTTTTGTGGGTGGGTTGTAAACTTGGTTTAAGAAGTTTATAGATAACTTCTTTGGAACGAGACATATTAGACAAGACATTGCTGGCAGACAAAAAGAATGAGCCATTTTCAACTAATGGTTAAAGTAAAGCAGTTGGAGCCTAAAATTTTTAGAGTATAACTCATTACTATTCAGAGTAATGAGGAACAGGAGGGTGTGGGGCAGTATGTTCCTGTTTTATCTGAGTGTATATACGAAGGTAAACTTTAATATGGAGACGTTGCCACTTTGAACAGTTAGAACCAGTTATAATCTTGGGCATTGTCTGGAGAGCATCTATAAAAACAGATCAGGACAAATGAATTATGAAAAAGTGAAGGATTTACATGTGTATATATGTGCGTGGAGCAAAACAATGACTACTAATATAATTTCTTTAATAGTCAATTTATACTTATATCTAATAAAAATCTGAAAATTATTTTTCTTAAATATTAAGACAAATTCCCTTTGAACAACTTAAATTACAGACCTAGTATAATTGAATACTTCAAACCTTGAGCAGAAACAAATATAATGGTTTTAAAACACTGCCAAACTTGCATTATATCTAATCTAAAATATATTAATAATCGTAAGCTAAATTCATGTAATCATCTCTTTATTCTCATATTTTCTGGAGGTATAGGAACACTTATTTGAATATGTTCTAAGGGTTTAGTTACAACTTACATCAGAAAGCTCCTCAGGATTACTCTGAACTTACTAAGCTTAAAGGAAGAAAAATAATGACTCAGACCAGTGATGAGTCTGAGTTGTTCACTAATTGATTCTTGATCTAAGTATGGCACCTGATTTCTTCCTCCAAGGTGATATAAACCCAAGCCACTGATTCTGTTTTTACAGTTAAACTTCACTTCTAATGTTGATAAAACCTGTTACACCCATGCCTTTAGCACAGGTGTTTGTACTTTACAATCTGATGTTTCTCCTCATAATGAGGTACCTAAATTTTGTTTATCTGCAACTATACAATCCATTGTTTTATTGTGATATATTGACTTGATCTTTTAGCATTATAACTCATGCTTTATTAGTATGTTATAGATATTAGGACCAGCTAGAGATTTCCTATCCTAAGAGATAAGAGTTTGAGTCTGTTTAGTTAATTATCTTTAGGACATGAACTAATCCATTTAGGACTCACTGGTTAAACCTTTTCCACTTGGTTGAGTGTGATCAATGGCAATGAATTTTTGGATTTCTTTTTTAATCTGGTTATTGTGCTGAACGTATCTTTCTGCCTTGTTACAGTTTATGCAGTTTTTGCTTGTCATACAGAAGAGTTTTCTTTATTTACTCTTGCTTAAGTAGAAGGTTTGTATTTGTGTGTTTATGTGTATGTGTTTTGTTTAAAATTTTTGTATTGAGCACCTACTCTGTTGCAGGCTTTGTTCTAATCCAGGCTTTGGAGGTAACAGTTGTGAGTTAAACAGACAAAAATCCTTGCCTTCATAGAGCTAATTTCTAGTGAAGAAGATAGACAATAAAAAATATATATAAGTAAAACATATACTATGTAAGAGTAACTTCTAAGGAGAAAAAGATGAAGGAAGAGCTGGGTGACCAGGTTGATATTTTAGATTGTGTGGCCAGTGAAGGCCTCTTTTGAAGTTAACTTTTGATTAAAGACCTGGGAGAGATAAGAGATCTGTCTATTCATGCTACATATATACACACATACACGTACACACATATACACATGTATAGCCCTTACCTACCTAACGGAAAGGAAATGCATATATGTATATGTATGTGTGTGTATATATATGTTTTATACTTTGTTCTTACTAAATTCTTTCTCATTTTATTATGCCTTTGTATTTGTGTATTGCATTTTAACATTTTTCCTTTTAGTCATGAACTCATGGCCTTCTACAGTCTTAACACATTTTAATTATAATGTATATATATATTTTGATGCGCAAATTATCAGAATTTAGCCATTGGGGCCACTTTAAGCTAACTCCTTGCTCCCTTCAGCACTGCTGCCCTGACATCTCTGCAAGCAACTTTACTTTCTGGCAATAAAAGGATATTCCAGACCCATCCTAAATGTTTTCTGTCCGAAGTCATGAAGTTAGCCACCTTCCAAGGCATTTAGGGAGGGAGAAAACAGGCATATACTTTTGAAATGAGACAGGCTGGGACCTGGAACCTGGCACCCTTTGCTACAGTGCGTGCACCTGGACAAATGTCTCTTGGAGAAACAGAATACAAAAAAACTATATAGGACTAAAAATAACTGCATGCATGCGCAGTTGGGGCAAATTATGAACAAGATACAAAAAGACCAAAAACCCAAGTGCCACTTTTGAGGTGTCGAGGGCAAAATCAGGGTACTGCATATAATCCCTGCACACAGCACCGCCAAGGAGGTAGGCCGACCACCTAAGCCACCCTTCCAGCCTGACCCTCACCCCATTTAGGGATCAGCTCACACCCTCACGCACACACCAAGAGTGAGCAAGGGCATCTGTTACTTGTTTTCGCTCCCTTGTGCTGCAGCATGAGTCCCAATAAAGACCTGCCTGAATTTCTCATCTGGCCTCATAGCAATTTCTATTGATTAAGGAGTCCAAGAACCTTGGTCAGGAACAGAAAGAGGTTATGAAATCAGAAATAGAAGTTTTCAAATAATTTTCCTCAGCAAAAGGTCTTGCTAGATGGATTTGGGGGCCTGAGAAAGAGTGTAAAGTAAGATTGCATTTTCCTTATATACTATATTTTCTATTGTTCCTCTTGCCCAAGAAGAAAAAGATGACCCACAGTAGAGCTCATTTTAATAAGAAATATATATTAATTACTCTATAAAACTTGAAGTTGTTTTAGGATTTGTGAATATTGTTTCAATAACATTGTTAAAAAACAACCATTTGAAACTTGATAATTTAAAATTGCCTCGATTGATGTAAATGAGTCGAAAGGAAATGTGGCTAAGCTTCTTCAGGTGTGTTAAAATTCCACTTGCTCTCTTCCTCCTAATACAAGGTTTTCTTTCTTTTTAAAAGTATTTCAGACATCTCTTCCTGAGCAAATGCAAAAGTTTTTGTGATATATTGATAGAAGTAAATTTTCCATGGAGTCCTGTACCCTTTTAGCAGTTACTGTATTTGGATGCTAGGACTGCACATGAATTGGGGGCAAATTTGCTGCTATTGTGACTGGGTCCCTTTTAGAGACAGCTGGAAAAAATATTTCCTTTTTAGAGCATCATTTCATATTGATTCTAGTTCTTAGAATATTTGCCGTACCCTACTTTATTCACAGAGCTCAGGACAGGGAGACAATAATAGAGAAAAGCAGATTGCTTGAAGCCATGAGTTGAGGCTACTTTAGTGACAGAAGAATGAGTCACTTTCCTGGTCAGCTTTCTTAAGGCATTTTTGTGGGGGAATTTCTCACATGTTCTTCCAGAAAGAGTAGTGGAAGTATCCACTCTTGATTATTGGCACATGTATAGTTGTTGGCATTAGACCTTCACATGGATGTCAGGTCTTTTAGTTGGGAGAACCTGAAAAGGTGATTATACTTCTTTCAGACTCAGTTTGGTTATCTGTAAAGTTAAAATAATTACAGCCTTCCATGTTTTTGTGAGGATTACTTGACTGTAATATATGTAAACAGTTAACATGGAAATTATTAATGATGAAATTAAGTAGGAAGTTGAATTGCATGCCTGAGAGCCAGCTGCTTATATGAGACAGAATTGCAAATTCTGCCCCTGTGTCCTGTTTCCCAGTGTATGGAGTCTCAGACAGCCGTGCTCCTAGCCCTTCTTTCTGATCCTGGAGAGGGAACTGCAGTTCCAGAGTCTCTTCGGAGCTCCCTGTTGGGATATATGGGGCTGTTAGGACTCTGCCTTCTATTAAAATAGAGGCCAGGAAGTGTATGGCTCTTGGTTTTTAAATTTTGCATTTATATTTTTGGACCTCAATTCCTAGTATATTACCAAAATTGTTTAGTCTAACACTCATTTCTTGGTTCTTCCCCCTGTCGTTCCCAATTCCTAATCTTCCCCATGGGCACATACACAGCTGTGTTTGGTATGCATCCTTAAATGTGTATATATCCCCTATCAAATAAGTCATGTTGTGTGTTTGAAATTTATATTATTGGTGTTATGCTATAAAAGTGTCACTTTTTTCTACTCAGTACCATATTTTGGATTGATCATGTTCTGTGCACAGTGCTGTTATGCTATTCAGTGCTTCTAACATTTGCATAGTAATTCATAGTAAATGTTTACTACTTTTAATTTATTCATTTCTGCATACAACTCCTGGCTGGCACAAAGAACATCCTGGTATGTGTCCCCTTGTGGACCTGAACTAGGTTAGACTACTTGCTGTAGAATATTGTGCAAAGGATTTTTTTGCACAATGTTATAAGGTACAACCAGATTACTTTCTAAAATGGCTGCAACTATTTACATTCTCCCCAAGAGCACCTCTGTGTCCTTGTAAACACTTGATAAGTTTTATCT